CTTTTATCCCTCAATATTATTTGTGAGATGTATCCACGTTGTATAGAGCACGAGGTCATTTCATTTTCATTGATGTTTGGTATTCTGTAGTATGAATATACTAGAATTTATTTACCTGCTTATGCTGCTATAAGCATTCTTGTACATGTTTTCTTGTACATAAGCATTCTTGTATAAGCATTCTTGTACATTATGCTGCTATAAGCATTCTTGTACATGTTTTCTGGTGCACAGATGAACAAGTTTATCTAGTGTATTTGCCCAATATCAGAATTGTCATAGGATTTCCACTGCCCCTAAATTAATGCCAAACTCTTTTCCAGCTGGTTGTGCCAGCAGTGTATAAAGGGTCCTGTTGCTTTTTGTTCCCATTAATACTCGCTGTTATCAGACTTAAAATTTTTGCCATGGGTGTATAATTATTTTCTTATTGTAGTTTTAATTTTTCATTTCCTTTATTACTAATAAGGTAGGGCATATTTTCATATGTTTATGGCCATTTGGACTCCCAGGAAAGGGAAAGGGGGAAAGAGGAAAAGGAAAGGAAAGGGACCCTATGTATAGGGAGATGTTAAAACATATCAAAAGTCTTTGGCAGGGCAAAGGAGGGCAAAACGAGGTGAGGTTTGCTTGCACTTCTTTCTAGGTCTATGTTAGTCTTTTTACTAACATAGGAGACCCCCTGAAACTATTGCTACGGAATAAAATGACATAGAATGTAAAAAAAAGATTTATTGTTTTTGCCCTTTCACATTTTGGTCTTTAAACCACTTGGAATGGATTTTTTTTTTTTTTTTTTTTTGAGACAGGGTCTTGTTCTGTTGCCCTGGCTGAAGTGCAGTGATGCATTAATGGCTCACTGCAACCTCGACCTTCTGGTCTCAAGTGATCCTCCTGCCTCAGACTCCCAAGTAGCTGGGACCACAAGTGTATGTCACCGTGACCAGCTAATTTTTTTGTGTTTTATATTATTTGTAGAGATGGAATCCACCATGTTGCCCAGTCTGGTCTTGAACTCCTGGGCTCAAGCAGGTCTCCTGCCTTGGCCTCCCAAAGTGTTAGGATTGTAGTCATAATCCACTGAGCCTGGCCTAGAACTGATTAGATGGAGTCTCACTCTGTCGCTCAGGCTGGAGTGCAGTGGCGCGATCTCGGCTCACTGCAGCCTCCGCCTCCTGGGTTCAAATGATTCTCCTGCCTCAGCCTCCTGAGTGTGGGATTACAGACGCCCACCACCATGCCCAGCTAATTTTTGTATTTTTAGTAGAGATGGGGTTTCGCCATGTTGGCCAGGCTGGTTTTGAACTGCTGACCTCAGGTGATCTGCCCACCTCCCAAAGTACAGGGATTACAGACATGAGCCACCGTGCCCGTCCTAGAACTGATTTTTTGAGTGTAGTGTGATACAAAGTAGGGGCCTAATTTCATTTTTTTTTCCCTGTATGGATACCCAATTGTTCTAGCTTCATATTTTGAAAAGACTGTCCCTTTTCCACTGATTGAAAAAGTCACTTGTATCATACATCAGAGAGAGATATATATATTGCTGGGCTTAATTTGGGATATTTTCATTCTATTCACCTATTTGTCCATCCCTGTACTAGTACCACAGTATCTTCTCTCTAGGTCTATGTTAGTCTTTGTAGGGAGACCCCCTGAAACTATTGCTACGGAATAAAAGATTAAATGCTCCTGATTATTGTGAGTACAAAATTGCATGCAGGACTGTGTAAAGACAATGTCAGGTTGGACTGCCAAAATGAGCCAACAGCACGTGATGTGCTTCCCCCTGCAGAGAGCCTATAAACGGATGTGCAGTCAGGGAGGTTTCACATCACCAAGATTCCTATCCCAGAAAAGCAGATGTTCATAGCTCTGGGAATGGAATGAGACCCTTGTGGAGAGCCTATAAATGGACACATGAGGGGCACCTGTTTCATATGGAGAAGATAGGGTTATAAATGCCTTTATCTTGCCACAGCTCTTCTAGGTCTCTTTAGGGTTAAGGCATACTCCTTTCTGAGAATTTGTGGTCTAACTGGTTGTTTCACGTCCTGTTTCTATTGATTGTTTGCAACCAGCTTTTGCTGCAGTTATTATTGCTGATTAGTATCTTACTCAACATAGGTTATGGATAGACTGTGTTTCTGTTTCAAGGCTCTGTTAGAAATTGCTGACGCACACACTATATTTAAATTCTTATCTCTGTATACTGCACCTCTGCATACCGATGTTATGTTAAAGAATTATTTCATCTCCATGTGATCATCTCACCTCATAAACGACCCTAAATCCCTCACTAACCTGCCCCCGCCCTCACTAAACTTAATAATAAATGCTGATATATCCAGTGCATTGGCGGCATCGTAGGACCAGAAGGTGGTGACCCCCCTGGACCCAGCTTTCACTATTTCGTGTCTGTCTTTTATTTCTCAACCTGCCGATCCGTCTGGGAACAAAGAAAGAGCCCCGTTGCATTGCAGGCTGCTGGCCAGATCCCGCAATAAGTCTTAAGATGAGGTGGGGCAAGTTCTCCTTTTTTTTTTTAAGAGTGTCTTGGTTATCTTAATATTTTGTATTTTTTTTCCCTGAAGAATTGGGTTTATTTCAATGGTAAATTTGAAATTCTTGACTTAAGCAAGAGTACTATAGTAATAATATCAGGAATAGACAATTTCCTACACTGTCAAATATATGAAAGTTCCTTTTGTACTTTCTTCAACACTGATCAACAGGCAGATTCAGCCCACATTTGCTTTGATCTATCTGCTGAGTTAACCCAAGCCTCTTCTTCAGAGATTCTGGCATCTAGAATCATAGATAAACTACTGTAGTGCAGTCAGAGTACCAGTCATAATGATACAGGCAAACAGTCCCTTCCATACACCTTTAAATCCAAGTCTCTGGAGAACTTGAGAAGCACTGCTACCTTTTTCTTTATTTAACACAAATACCACAGAATCATCAGGGTGAGAAACAATTGCACAAAACACTCCAGGTATGTAACCTGCTACAAATGTTACAACCAGCTCCTCTGCCTTTGAACATTCACTACAGGGCTTCTGAACCACAAACTTGTACAATGCTTCAACAGTACCTTAAAAGCAGGCAAACTTATCATGGCATATGCTATCTGTCTCATCCAGAGAGGAGCAACCCCTCTGTAGAATGTTTTTAGGCCTTCTTCCTTATACATCTTGGGAGCTGCATCCCTCAAAGTCTTGGTCTAACCTGATTGGGTTTGAATTTGAACCTTACCACCTTCCATAGGGCAATTACAGCAAATAATTCAGCACTGGCAGAGGCAGCCAAGTATAGTGATGTGCACCAGAGATAACATGCTCTGGGAGTATGTTGCTATACAAGACTTTAAAGACTTCATAAAAGCCAAACTTGCAGAGCCCCTGCATGGAGTGACCAATGAAAGTTAGAGCCCGTCCTTTAGCCAAACAATGAACACCATCCTCCTTAAGTGTAACTGAGAATCCATTAAATATTCCCTTGTACTTTTGGGGATCCACCTGCATACAGCATTTCACTAAACCTAGGGGAATGACCACAGTGTGTGTCAGACCACAACCTAAGACCCCACGAGAACCACACAGTGCATAATACTTCCTGGAGTCAAATTCACAACTGTACTTTTATAAGGCAGCAGCTGCCAGGTTAAGAGAGCAGTGAGGGGGGCCTGTGGGTCCTGTGGGGCTGCTGTGGAGGTCCGTGAGGCCATTGTCCACAAGCTGCAGGTGTGGTGCATTAAAGGGGTTTGCCCATGCCAGGTGTGCCATGGATGAGAGCTTCTCCCTAAGATGGCAAACACCCAACCGTTACTCCCTTGGATTGCGGCTCACAGGGTGATATTTTGTATTTCTACATCAGATTTAGGGTCAGCTTGTCAAGTTCCACAGGAAAGTAGGTTGAGCTTTCATTGAGATTGCATTTAATCTATAGAACGATTTAGGCAGAATTGAAATTTTTATAGTATTGCATCTTACAATCTATAAGCATATGACATATTTCTTCACTTTAGACCTCCTTTAGGAGTCCCTCAATAAATGTTATAATTTTCTCCATAGAAGGACCAAAACTATTTTTAGATAAGTGGGAATGGGGATGCCAAAAGGAGAAGGATAAGAAGACAGATTTCACTAGTGTGGTCAGAAATTGAAAGGCAACATGTACAGTTCATTCTGACATTTTTCACTATTACTGACTTTTTACCCTGACTTTTTATTACTGTAAACATGTTTTCATTTTCTTTAAGTCTTCAGCCACATCCCTAAACACTTAGCAGATTACCTCATTTTTTATATTTAGAAGATGTTGCCACTGGGCACAGTGGCTCACACCTGTAATCCCAGCACTTTGGGAGACCGAGGCGGGTGGATCATGAGGTCAGGAGATCGAGACCATCCTGGCTAACATGATGGAGCCCCGTCTCTACTAAAAATACAAAAAATTAGCCGGGCGCGGTGGCAGGCACCTATAGTCCCAGCTACTTGGGAGGCTGAGGCAGGAGAATGGTGTGAACCTGGGAGGCGGAGCTTGCAGTGAGCTGAGATTGTGCCACTGCACTCTAGCCTGGGTGACAGAGCAAAACTCTGTCTCAAAAAAAAAAAAAAAAGTAGAAGATGTTGCCTGTGCCACTAAAGCACTCTCAATTGTCTCCTTGTGGTACATGTCCACTGCAAAATTTCTCATCTTTCCACTCTTTTTTTAACCCTATACCTAAGAAAGGAGTGTCCCTATGAGTAAGAAGTTTCAGTACTAATCTATCCATGAGTACTCTGATTCCAGAACAGTTGGGATAACTGTAGTTATGTTATAGATTCCTTCCTATCTGTAGTCTTCATTTGCATTCCCCACAATCAGCCAATGGCAGAGGCCCCAGAAAAATGATGCCAGTTTCCTACTAGAAAGATAAAATGTAAGAATTGTTACATTGTTAACATTCTCCTAGCTACATCATGTATGAAATGAGGATTTTATTACTTTGACAGATAAGACCACTTTTTTATCTGAGCTTCTGTGACCTGCTCCTGGGACTTTGCTGGCTCACAGAGACACTTCTCTATGGAGCTTCAGTAGCAAATAAGGACATCATCTGCTATAACCTACAAGCAGTTGGACAGGTAAGTGCTACAAGACTGTCACTGCACCTTGCAAGAAAGGCACACTCAGATCTAAATAGAAACAAAGATGATTCACCTTGGGAAGTGGAGACCCATTTATTTATTGTTACATTTTGAAACAATAGCTTCTATCTTTTTTCATACAAAAACACTATTTATTTATTATAGAAAATTTTGAAAATTCAGAGAAGCAAAAAGATAAATAATATTATCTTTACTCTTTAATTTTTGTTTGTTTGTTTTGAGACGGAGTCTCGCTCTCTCTCCCAGGCTGGAGTGCAGTGACATGATCTCAGCTCACTGCAAGCTCTGCCTCCCGGGTTCACGCCATTCTCCTGCCTCAGCCTCCCAAGTAGCTGGGACTACAGGCGCCTGCCACTACGCCCGGCTAATTTTTTGTATTTTTAATAGAAACGGGGTTTCACCGTGTTTGCCAGGATGGTCTCTATTTCCTGACCTCGTGATGCGCCCGCCTCGGCCTCCCAAAGTGCTGGGATTATTTTTTTTGTTTTTTGAGACTGAGACTCGGTCTGTCACCAGGCTGGAGTACAATGGCACAATCTCGGCTCACTGCAAGCTCCGCCTCCTAGGTTCAAGTGATTCTCCTGCCTCAGCCTCCCGAGTAGCTGAGACTACAGGCGTGCACCACCAGGCCCAGCTAATTTTTGTACTTTCAGTAGAGACTGGGTTTCACCATGTTGGCCAGGATGGTCTTGATCTCTTGACCTCATGATCTGCCAGCCTCAGCCTCCCAAAGTGCTGGGATTACAGGTGTGAGCCTCCGTCCCCAGCCAATGAATACTTTTTTATAACCTGTTTTTATTACTCAACATATTGTGACCATATTTCCAGGTAATGAAATACTTTTCTATAACATCATTTGAAATGATTGGATGGTTTTGTGTTACAAGAATAAAATGAACATTGGATTTTGAAAATACTACAGATAATCATATATGGATTGTATATCTTTCATGAATTTTACCAATGCATTAATTCACATAGTGCCATCAGTATATAATACTGCTTCTATATTTCTGAGACGTGGTGTGAAAAAAGTAAAGGTTAAAATGCAGCCTATGCTCACTGCTAGATATTTCCTTTGGAATTTGTTACTAGAGGGGTAATTTCTTTCAATTTAGTAAGAAATTAATGATATATAATTGGTGGTATAAAATCTGTGCACTAATATATTACCAATCTCATATGAGTTTAAAAAGTTTTAGAGTCATACTTTGCTCAGTCCCGCTAATAACCTCAGGAGTTAAATAGAATTAAGACTGTATTGTTTACTGAGATAATTATAGTCTTTGATCAGAAAAGTCTGTATTAGAATCCTGGACCTGATTAACTTTGTAATGTTTGGCCAGTACCTAATCTTTCTGAACTTCAGTCTCCTAATCTGTAAAATGTTCATTAATAATATTTACTTTGTGCTTGGTACGGATGTGGTTAATGTTACTTTCTTTTTTTTTTTTTTTGAGATGGAGTCTCGCTCTGTCATCTAGGCTGGAGTGCAGTGGCACCATCTCGGCTCATTGCAAGCTCCACCTCCCAGGTTCACACCGTTCTCCTGCCTTAGCCTCCCAAGTAGCTGGGACTACAGGTGCCTGCCACCATGCCCAGCTAATTTTTTGTATTTTTAGTAGAGATGGGGTTTCACCATGTTAACCGGAATGTTCTCAATCTCCTGACCTCGTGATCTACCCGTCTTGGCCCCCCAAAGTGCTGGGATTATAGGCATGAGCCACTGCACCCGGCCTGTTACTTTGTTTTTTTTTACAACTTTATTGAGCTATATCTATAGTAAACTATATGTATTTATAGTGTATAATTTAATCAGCTTTTACATATCTATTCCCCTGTGAAATCATCACCACAATCAAGATAACAAACATTCCTGTTTCCATCACCCTCCAAATCATTTCAGATATGTTTTCCTTTACCTTGTTCAGCTATGTAGTATAATAGCTGCTTTTAAAAATATTTGTTGGATATTTCCAATGTCTGGTTCATTTCTAGGTTGGTATCTGTTGATTATCTTTTCCCATGAGAATGGGTCACGTTTTCCTATTCTTTGTATGTCAGGTAATTTAGGATTGCATCTTAGATGTCATGAATACTATGTTGCATACAATCTGGGTCCTTTTGTAACTCTCTAGAGATTGTTAATACTTTTATTTTAGCAGGCAACCTGATTAGGTTTAGAATGTAAATTTGGTCTCATCATCTGTGGACAATGGTTCAAATCTCAGTTTAGTTCTATAAGCCTTGGCTGTGTTGGTTTGAGACTGTCATGCACAAGCATAGTAGACAGGTTAGGCTGAGACTTGTTTGGATTAATACACAGAATTAAAGCATCCCTTTTCCTGACTGCCTTTCTTCTAGGATTCCCTCCATACTTTCCTGCCCAAAGGGGGCCCTTTTCTGATCTCTGTTTCCTTAAGATAGATTTCTGTTAGAGTTGGAGGTGCCTTCATTGAGCACTATCATGACTGAGGTACATGCTTGAGCAAAACTAAGAGAAAAGAGAGGAAAAAGTTTGGGAAACTCACTTCTTCTGTTCGGTTTACTTCTCCAAGTTTGACTCCTTTCCACAATCTACCTGTTTTTGTTTACTTTTCAGTGTCTTCAAGTGGTTGTTTTTTATATTTTTCCTAGGATTCTTACTTGTAATCAGGGATGAGCTGGAGAGGGCTTACACACACTAGTTTGTTTGTTTGTTTGTTTTGGTTTTGGTTTTGTTTTTGAGACAGTCTCACACTATTGCCTGGGCTGAAGTGCAATGGCATAATCTCGGCTCACTGCAACCTCTGCCTCCCAGGTTCAAGCGATTCTCCTGCCTCAGCCTCCCGAGCAGCTGGGACTACAGGCGTATGCCACCATGCCCGGCTAATTTTTTTTTTTGTATTTTACTAGAGATGGGGTTTCACCGTGTTAGCCAGGATGGTCTCAATCTGGAATCACATAATGTTTGTCCTTTTGTATCTGACTTATTTCATTTAGCATGTCTTTAAGGTTTATCTTGTTGTAGCATGTGTCAGAATTTCCTCTGTTTTTAAGGCTGAGTAATATTCCATTGTATGGATAGACCACATTTGGTTTATCTGTTTATCTGTCAATGGACACTTGGGTTACTTCCACCTTTTAGATGTTGTGAATAATGCTGCTATGAATATTGATGTACAAATACGTTTGAGCCCCTACTTTCAGTTCTTTTGTACATATACTCAGGAGTAGAATTACTGGATCAGAAGGAAATTCTGTGTTTGATTTTTTGAGGAAACACCATATTTTCCATAACAGCAGTGCACAGTGCCCTGGTTTCCACATTCGTGCCAACATTTGTTGCTGTTTTTTTTGTTTTTTAAGTAATAGCCATCCTAATGGGTACAAAGTGGTATCTCATTGTGGTTTTGATTTGCATTTCTCTAATCATTAGTAATGTTGGATAACTTTTCATGTGCTTATTGGCCATTTATATATCTTCTGAAGAAATGTCTCTTCAAGTCCTTTCCCTTTTTTTTTTTTTTTTTAGGGGGCACAAAGTCTCGCTTTCTTACCCAGGCTGGAGTGCAGTGGCGCTATCTTGGCTCACTGCAACCTCCGCCTCCTGGGTTCTAGTGATTCTCCTGCCTCAGACTCCTGAGTAGCTGGGATTACAGGTATGCGCCACCACACCTGGCTAATCTTTGTAGTTTTCGTAGAGATGAGGTTTCACCATGTTGGCCAGGCTGGTCTTCAACTCCTGACTTCAAGCAATCTGCCTGCCTTGGCCTCTCAAAGTGCTGGGATTACAGGTGTGAGCCACCATGCCCAGCCCCTTCCCCATTTTTTAATCAGATTGTTTGCTTTTTTGTTACTGAGCTGTAAGAATTCTTTATAAAGTATTTATATTAATCCCCTGCCAGACATACAATGTGCAAATATTGTCTCCCATTCTGTAGGCTGCCTTTTTATTCTGTTGTGTCCTCTGATGCATGTAAGTTTTATAAATTTTGTTACAGTTCATTTTCTCTTTTGTTGCTTATGTTTTTGGTGTCCTACCCAAGAAATCATTTTCAAATCTAACGTTATGAAGCTTTTACACTATATTTTCTTTTAAGAGTTTTATAGTTTTAGTCTTACGTTTAAGTCTGTGATCTATTTGTAGATTTTCGTATGTGGTGTAAAGTAAGGGTCCAACTTCATTCTCGTGCATGTGGATGTTCAGTTTTCCTGGTACCATTTATTTATTTATTTGAGACAGAATCTTGGTCTGTTACCCAGACTGGAGTGCAGTGACATGATCATGGCTCACTGTAGCCTCGACCTTCTGGGCTCAATTGATCTTCCCACCTCAGCCTCCCAAGTAGCTGGGACTACAGATGCATGCCACCACACCTGGATAATTTTTGTATTTTTGGTAGAGATGGGGCCTCCTATGTTGTTCACACTAGTCTTGAACTCCTGGGCTCAAGCAGTCTTCCTGCCTCAGCCTTCCATAGCATTGGGATTACAGGCGTGAGCCACCATGCCTGGCCCCATTTGTTGAAAAGAGTGTCCTTTCCCCATTGAATGATCATGGCATCCTTGTCAAAATCATTTGATTATATATGTAGGATTTATTTCTGGGCTTTATTTTTATTTTTTTATTTTTTTATTTTTTTTTGAGACGGAGTCTCGCTCTGTCACCCAGACTGGAGTGCAGTGGCGCGATCTCGGCTCACTGCAAGCTCCGCCTCCCGGGTTCACGCCATTCTCCTGCCTCAGCCTCCGGAGTAGCTGGGACTACAGGCGCCCGCCACCACGCCCGGCTAATTTCTTTTTGTATTTTTAGTAGAGACGGGGTTTCACCGTGTTAGCCAGGATGGTCTCGATCTCCTGACCTCGTGATCCGCCCGCCTCGGCCTCCCAAAGTACTGGGATTACAGGCTTGAAATTCTGATCCATTAGTTCTGTATGAAACCAGAAAGTGTGAGTCTTCCAACTTTTTACTTTTTGAGACAGGGTCTTGCTCT